ATCATTTGGATAATAAGTTATTAAATGTCTGGACTTATCGGTAATGTCGTCAATACTTCAAGTAGATAAATCACTAAAGAAACCAAATTTGGTTGAAAAGTCATTGTAGGTACTTTTCCTGTAGGAAATTTTAAGGATTAATTTATCAATAATATAATTAAATACATTTATCCTAAAATTGTCCCTAGCGTTAAATAGAGTTTCATTATCACTGGTTTCATCAAATTGTCGTTTCCGTTTCACTTTTCTCTTTTTATCTGCCGCATATTCTTTCTCACCGAACAATTCTATGGCCCTTCTTTCATATTCCTCAAATGATTTAGCTATATTATATATTATAATACCTACATGTTCGTCAATGTCAGTAGATTTGGAGTGGTTTAAATCGCCAACGGCGCCACCGTCGGTACTCTTACTAGTACTAGTACTTGCACTATTGAAGTCATTGGCAGCTGCATTCGGAATCGGAATTGCTGAGTTAGAAGTAGCATCAGAAGAATTTTCATTAACCTTTTCATTTTGAAGTCTTCCAGTTGGATTGAAAAAAAATTTTATTGAAGGTATTTGTTGCAAGGCAGATTCTTTCCGAAATTTTTTTTTCTTTGGCTCTCTTCCTATATTCTGATCCGCTTAGCCTCTTCCTACCGTCACTCATTTTATTGAAAAATTATTTCCAAATCGTAATGTTACACTTTATTATTAGTATTAGATACTATATACTATACTTGAAAAAAACCGACCAATCAAACTCCTATTACTTTTATTCGACCACCATTTTCTAGTGTAGGTACTACGCAATCAACAGCAATACCACCATTCTTCTTCCGCTTTCCGGTAAGTTTTGGATAAATTTGTTTGCAGCAAATGAACGGCGCACAGCGCAGCAGCGTCGCATCGGCAGGGTGATCGTTTTCCTAAACTTTGATTGGTAGCGGCAATCTTTTGATAGAATAACACGTGCCGCGGCACCTCTGTGCTGGCTTCCTTTATCCTTTGGTGGCGGCCGCTCTCTTTTTTTTTGGCGGCGATTTCAAAGTAAATGGGGATTTTATATTAGAGGTATTTATGTATTTATTAACTGGATGCATGGCACAATGCAGTAAAAAATAACCCAAGCGAATTATATATTTAAACAATAATAATAGTTAAGTAAATAAATATGTAATCGGCTAAGGCTATATTCGAAATATTTTATGAACATATAAAAGTTAAAAAAAGATAAATATTTTGGTATGCTCAAAATTTGCCGCCCCTAAAAATCTGCCGCCCCAGGCCCGGGCCTTGTTGGCCTAGGCCTAAGTCCGGCACTGTATGTAATGGAACAATAATTGGAAAAGCTTCAATAAGCTGGAAATGATGGTCATGATAATGGTATTAATAATAATTATGATTATTTTTGTTTAATATCTTTGGCAAAAGACGAAAACATACTCCTTAAAAATTTTAAACTAATAGTTATTTTTTATACAAGATGATAAAATCAAAATGGTATTTTATCGTCGCTCGAAAAGATTAATTTACGAGCGATGAAATCGCGAGTGAATTAATTTCGGGAGACGATAATGCAATTTTATCGTCGTGTATAAAACAATATTTTTTTCCATAGCGAGTTACGTTTCAAAGTAAAGAGTAGAAAAAATATTGTGCTGGGTTGGCGTTGGTTTCTCTGTAATTTGACAAATAAATAAAGCTGTCTCTTTAGTTGTCAGTTTTGAGACAATATTTTTTAATTCTCTTTCGTGTCGATTGCTGATTGAATTGGAGCCAGAAATGGCTCAAAACAAAATAAGTAAATTGCCAACAGATATTCAGGCTGAGGCGACAAACGTCATATCCAAACTACTTCCATTTAAATCCCGAATAACTTATGAAAAGGAATACAAAAATGTTCAAAAATGGAAGCAATTAAAAAACGTGCGAGAAGAAATAAAGTTTTTAACCTATCCTCGCTGTTAAAGTATCATTTAATCTACCCTTGCGGTTAACGTACTATTTTATCTACTATTTTTGATAGATATAAGGCAATTTTAACAGTTGCTATGGAATTTTTTTTATTTGTAACTCTAATTCCGATTCCGAGATCTTTGATATTGTCTCCATGGCCTTGCCAACTCCGTAAGCCCTCTAAGAAGTTGACGAAGTACTGAAATACATTAAATAACTCTTGTAACTTTCAGATTCCCGGCATTTCAGAAATAAAGACAGTTAAAATATGAGGAGAATTCTAAAGGTCAGAGCTTCAAATAAAGAGGCCACATAATTCAGTTAAGTAGATAATTGCGTCTTATTTTTTTCAAACAGCTAAACTTTTGTAGTTAATATTCTCCCAAATTAACAGTTGTATTATTTCTCTCTGACTCACATTGCAATAAGAATAAGTTCTTAGGAATAAAACACATTTTCATACAACTATATATCATGTGGGTGAGATTTTCTGATTGATTTATACATTAATTGCAACTCTATATGAAAGAAGGTGCACCTACATAAATCAAGGCTTTGTGATAGGGAGTGTACACACAATTCTCACGACAATTACTCCAACCTCTATTTTTCTGTTTGTGTCATTTTGAAATTTACTGTTCGGTTAAGGCGAACAAACGTTCCTAAATGGTTGTGTGAATAAGACATTAGCAGTTCTTCTGTCACATGTAACACACCTTATGCTCCCAGAAATTCCTAGGCAAATTTGTAAGATTTTTCAACAATCTCGTGACATTTTTGGTAGGACAACAGCTATTAGTCCGGGAGACAGTGAATTCTTTTTGTTCTTATTTTCTCACTCGGTGAATATGAAAAAAAAATGAAAATATGTTTGTTTGGATGGTGGCATAAAATGAAAATCTGTGAGCCTGACTAAAATTTTCGGATGGGTTTACTAGATAAAAAAGTCTACTTATTTTCCCAGTCATAAATATTTGACATTTATTAAAGTGAATCATTTTATTAATAGAAATAACAGTACTTCCTGTTTCACCAGAAAATGACTACAACTTTTGATTTTTAAATCGTACCCTCGGTATTTTTTTACTTTATTCGATAGACACTCTGAATAGAATGGCATGTCATTCTATTCAGAGTGTCAAACTTTTGACATTTTCGCTTAAAAAATCGAATTTTAAATTTCGATCTAGCTGGTGTGTCTGTCGTGTAGCTGATTTCGATTTTGATCATGGCTGTATTAAAAACACTAATTTTTAATCAAGGAGCCTTGGAAAAATAGATTTGATCATCTAATGTTTTTTTGTGGTTGTCCTCAGGGGGGTGACAGTGAAATAGGAAAATTGGAAACAGTCATTAGTGTCAATCCTGTCATCTCCTGACGACAAGTATGGCCGCCTAGACAAGGACAGCAATGTTTCTGTCTAACTATTGTCTAACTTCACAGTTTAGAATTGACAGATTTCAGAGACAACTTCAGATTTGTTCTAGAACAAATTTCGACGCCATTTTAATTCTCTCCGGTTAGTTTTGTTTCGTAAATTCAATTTGATATTTCGGCAGAAATTTATAAATATAAAGGTAATAAAGCATATAAAATATATTATTACATGAACAATCCTGGAGAAAAAGACGTTTCTGCAGTACTTGGTATGTCCCATGTATATTAAAAATAGGTAGTAAATAAACACTATTTCTGTATTTTTTAGATGTAAGAAAATTTTGTTATGTTTATGATCGGCGATTTTTTTGAAAATGGAAACAATTTACAGCAAGGTAAGATCATTTTTAACTATAGCCAACATTAGTTATCTCCAGTATGTGCGATTTATTGTCAATAATACAGTAAATCTGACTGATACAATCTGAATGTTATCCGACTTGTCTCTTTTTGCTTCTTTTTGATTTATAAACCAGGTCTCTTTGGGAATGGACGCTTTTTTTAAACAGTATATTTATATTTTATACCTTCATATTTTTACATTGTTAATTTTAGTATAAAAAAATTTGTTTTTCTGTTTTCAGATTTTTGTATAAGGCTCCCGTTTTCATGTCTGCCCCCGTTTTCTATCCTTGATGGCTGTGAATACGCGTATTTATTTACAAATTACTGTAAGTCATGCTTATACCTTACTAATTTACGTTAAAATTGCATATAATTAAGTAATTGCTGTAGAAATCATTCAATTCATTATTTTTTATATTTATTTAGTCCCGTTGTCTCATATTTCAAATAAATATGTTTGAATAAAATTATGTTTTGTTTTATTTATGATAAGAAAGAGTACAAAATACATTTAAACTGAAAGAGGGCCCGCCATTGAATAACCAGAAACGGAAATAAAAATGAAGCCATCATGTCAACCTGTCAATTTGAGAATTAGTTCTCCAGACGACAACGAAGGCTTTCAGTGGCGTATCGTGTTTCCACGATTTAACACAGAGTTGACATTTCTTTCTAGTTAATTATTTTATGGTTGTCCTGGCCGGTTAAAAGTTAATGTCCAATTTGCATTTTTAATCATATCTCAATTTTTTTAAATGGACCGAAGGTGGCTCATTAACATATTTAGAAAAAGCATTTTTTACGAATAATTTGGTATCACACACTTGGTATTTCGAGTCAATTTGTCGTTATGAACCGCATGTTACAATTTCAAATAAACCAAATATGTGAAAATGCCAAAAGTTGACGTATGATATGTCATTATATTCAGTGTCATTTTCTATCGCATAAAGTATCTAATAAAATACCGAGGGTGCTACTTAAAAATCAAAAGTTGTAGTCATTTCCGGTGAAACAGGACGTGACCGAAAACAATTATTGAATACGTCAATCAAGTCTAATTTATGTCATATACCAACATACTAAATCTCGTTTTTTATCTGAAAAAATAAAAAAGTTATAGAGATGAGCCACTTTTGGAACGCACCCGGTGTATCAGATGGTTCGCCGTCAGTGCTTATTGTAAGATATCTTTGGTTGCCCCAATATCTATAGTGCAGTAATTCACCAATGGGGTGAAATAACATAAAAATAAATCTCTGTACTCACCGGTAGTTGTAGTTCCCCCACCAAACCACATAGACACCAAGTCGTCCATGCTGGTGCCCGCAGATCCTGGTGGTGTCTGATGGTAGGATGAGTTCCCATAGTAGTACGAAGGGGTGGCCGTGGCCAGGGGGTCCATCATGAGCCGCGGTGGGACTCCCGCTTGCGTGGGCAATCCGTGGTGTCCAGAAGAGTCCCGCGAGCGATTGCTGTCGAGAAGAAGTTGTTGAACCTAGACCATTTGTCAAGAAGGAAGAGAAAGCAGAGATAATTTGGAAGATTCGTTTTTTGCATCAAAACATTAGTATTTTAATGACATGACATCGAAAAAGTCATTGCAATTGATTGTGGGCTAAAATAAATAAAATATAACACTTTAAATTTGACGTTTTTTTTTGCATCTTAGTGTGTTAGTCCAAGTGCTTGGAGTAAAATAAACTACCTGAGAGGTTACCAGAGGTTTGATACTGGAATTGCAATACCGTACCTAGTATAGCTTGATTTTCATGCATCCGTTGTCCGACGATACGTTGATACGATATTAATTTTATTGGTAGAATTTAAAGACTTTGATTGGTTAGAATATAACGCAGTTTTTAAATCTATTGCATTTTTATGCCTCCGTTTATCGGATTATACGTTGGTATTATTTTATATTTTCGTTTCCATAACGATTTTGCTATTTTATACTTGTATTCATTTAAAACTTCCCAATATGGCGGACCTCAGTATGGGAGGCTTAAAAAACGAAAATCTCTAAACTGGAATCGACTGTACTTCAAATCGTTCAAATTGATAATCTGTGGTAAATCCAATTGAACTCTGACACTTGGCTGACATTGACGTTTACGGTTCCTTTTTCTAAATATTTTCATTATTTTTTTAGTTTTTATTCACAAATTCTACTTGATTTTGTTCTTTTATTTAACCTGCAACCTGCAGTATTAATTATATAGTTATAAATAATCTTTTCACCGATCAAGAATTGAGGAATAGGCTGGAAGATATTCAAAATGTGTAAAACGCTTAAGGACGTATTAGAAAACATTGACTCGTTCACAAATTTGTGAAATTAAATTAGTCCAGATATTTGTAAAAAGGTCTCTAATTATTTTGAGAAGTTTCCTCGTATCAGTAATTTTCAGGTTTGTAATATGTACTATATGATAAAAAACTTATATATGATATTAAAACTTATATTTCAGGAAACAGTGCTGGCATTACAGATTGTTGTAAATCAGTTTTAACATATAAAAAAGGTTTAAAACAGGTTTAAAAGTTGAGTTAGTAGAGAAGACCTAAATAAGGTAATGTTGGTAATGGGACCAAACATCAAATAACACTTGAAATATATAATTATGTACAATAATTGTAAGTAGTTTTTATGAATCTGTTTGATATATATTGCATTGTTTTTATATTCCTTGAAATATATATTTTTTTACTTTACAGGATACACAAAGAATAATAAAAAATACAGTTACTCACTAAAAGCACTTAAGGTTTGTAATAGATGTAGTTAGAATATCAAACACCAAACCAAACCAAAAATTATGTTTTATTTTACTGGTATTCCTCACATTTGAAGGGAAAGTCATTTCATAAATAAGCAGAACATTGTATAGTACACTCTATATTAATAATTGTTTTTTATTCTATACTTGTTAGTTAACGCATCACTTACTAGGTATAAAATTTAGTACTGATTAACCTATAGTTGTGGTTGTGATATATTCTGATGTGTTTCTGGCAATTTAAAATAAGTTAATATTTAAACAAACATTTCTGTCTTTCCTGACAGGAGTGTGGACACAAATTTAATAAAGGTATAATATGGATAATGTTGTGATTATTACAGTTTGCATGGATGTTTTTGTATGTTGTTATTTTTAATAAAGTATATTTAATGAATTTTTGAGTATTTCTTTTTCCTTCAGAGGATTATGTTCTGATCTTTATATATTATAAATTTTCATAAACTATATCTACAAAATTTATTACTTTATAATTTTTTGCTAAATACTTTTTAGTTGATACAGTTTAACAGTATATAAAAGAACTATTTAAATAAGATGTTTGAAAATATATATCTGTTTTTGCACACATCAATTTGTGATAAACTGTACTGAAATAAAAACAAATTAAGAGAAATGGGGTGATCTATCAACTATAACATAAAAAGCATCATCCTATTTCCAATTCTAAACAACTATACTTATTCAATAATCTTGATAATTCTAGGAACTCTCAGATATCGTCACATGAAAACAAAAATTTACTTCCTATAGTTCTTACGTCCCTTTAACTGAAATATAAGAAACAGGGGAGTTAATATTCTCACTGAGAAAGTTTATAAAATACCTTTAAGTAAAATCTCTTCGGATCTGCAGTAAAATACCTTTATTCTTATTAAATAATTTCAATAATCTATGTTTTTATTTATGACAAGCACCTAATAACCTAACTTTAACGTCAACTTGACAATCCTGAAAAATATTATTGTAAAGTTGTTAACCAAAGAGTAAATCAATTTCTGAATTCGCTAACGCCAACTTATTTTTCATTAAAAAAAATTACCAATTTTCGTAACTAGGTCGGCCATATTGAGGAACTTTTATAAGAATAGTACTATACTTATATTTTTATTAAGGTTAGATTAAATTTCTCAAAAAAGTGTCAAAACGTCCGTTATCGTATGAACGAGTCCGTTGACGGGCTGAAATAAAATATTTACGGACAAAAAGTGGCGCGAAAACGCTATGACCAATCAGAGCATCGTCGGACCATCGTATCAACGTATAACGGATGCATGAAAATCAAGCTTAAAACCTGTTGCGATATACAAGGTGTCCCCATTTTGTTTGAAATCATAACATTATCTCCGTTATTAGTGAAAATATAAGAATGCGGTTTGCACAAACCTGTCCTACTTTTTGTCAAAAGGAAGATGTTGTTAACAAACATTTTCATAGCTCTCTTCGTTTCTGAGCTACAAGGTTTTTTTTTTCAAAATTTTGCAACTTGGGCCATCCCCCTGTATCTCTGTTACTGTAAAAGGGGTATCGAGTAGGTAAAAGGTAACTGTAGAATACAGAGACGTAGTCTGTTTTTCTATAAAATAAATATTTTTGGAAATAAGAACTAAAGTTATGTTTTCTTAAATATAACACCCTGTAGATTTAAAAATCAGTTGATCTGGCTTGCTATGCATTTCTCCAAAATATATGACTTTATATTTATTAACTGTTTTTAGACGAGCGGTTTTATACTAGGTAATGCTATAGCAATTCCAGCATCAAACCTCTAGTAACTTATCAGGCAGTTTATTTTACTCCCAGCTCTTGGACTATATAAAAATAAATTTAGAAAATCATTTTGAGAATATTTTGTCTCCAAATAGAGTATTCCTTTTTTTATCCAGATAGGTATATTGTGAATTCCCAAAAATCTATTTATTCATGCCATCCTTAAACCATACTCTCAATCTCAGAAGATGAATGCCCTCGCCAGAGGTTTACACAGTGTATTTCGTATTATTCATTCCGCATAGGACGTCACGGTTAAGCTCGGATGAAATGATAGCCAATAGCAAACAGGATAACTATGTTTTCCTGTTTTTTGAAGTGAAACTTCTTTAAGCGCGCTGGGAGTAACTATTCAAGGCTTTGAATGTGATGTTACTTTGACATTAGTTTTGAAGTAAGAAACGTCAAAAATTGATGTTGTCTGATCGCGACCAAATTTGGTGAGTAGGCTATGTGAGTGACGGTGCATACGGTCCCACCCTGCAAAGTCGAATACGACGTTTCGTTTACATCTTCATCAGGGTAGGGCTAAGGATTTCATATTGCAGAAAAATGTGGGTCGATTTCGGCATAATTGGGGACGGGCTAGAGGATGACGTCCTCGACGTTTCGAACCGATCGATGCCTCTAAATGGACGAAATCATCAGGATTTTTCTTAATTATGGGTCGATTGGAACCAAACTCGGTACGTGGATAGAGGTACCCGAACGGAGTCCTCAGAGAGACAGACGGTCATTTTAATACAACACAACATTATTTATTAATTTTTAATTTATTAATTTTTCAACATTTCAAACTCCACTTTTTAAAACATGTCCTTCAAATTCTTCAATTATTTAAGAAGTGTCACTTCAAATATGCGCACATAGTGCATACACAATTTTTTTTATTCAATAAATTTGATTTTTTTAAATTTTGGAAAAATTTGTATACATATTTAGTGTGATTCTAGTAAGATATTTGCTCTGGATTAGTAGAACAATTAACGTTGAAAGAGTTGGCAACACTTCTCGTCATGTTACCAAGGGACTAAATATTGCAGTGGAGGGTGAAATAGCTTATTGCAAATTAGAAATATGAAAACTTATTGTCAACTAATAAATTTACGTCTTAAATACTACATTCTTTAAAAAGAGGTTATTAATCTAAACCTCCTAATCATAATTATCATAATGGTGACTAATAAGCGTTGGATATGCAAAAATCATCGAAAAAACAGCTTGTTTACCTGTAAAATGTCAACGAACTCATCGCCGTTGCTGCTGGTAGGTGGCACTCGAGTCGGATCACTGTGTTGGGAATGGCGCATCGCTAGTGTTAACATTTTGACAGGCTATCGATTGACAAGGGGTCTCAGAACCACTTGCCATACGTGCTGGTGACGGAATCTGACAGAAGATGGTCTTCAGGGCGGTGCAATTGAAAACGGTGGTGTGGTAACAGAAAAAATGAAACCTGGAATAGAAGAAACTACGTTTTATCATGTTCAGAATTATACTTCAAAGTGTTGTTTTGATAATAATAGTATACGTCCGAAAAAAAGCTGCGTCAAAGACGGCTAGAACCATGATAATTTGACTGATAATAATTTTGGCGAGGTCAAGCTTTAGATGTCATTTATTATTCTTCCTCGACAAAGTCCTCGTCACTTATTATTCTTCTTCGAGAGTCCTCGTCAAAATTCTTATCGATTTTCATTCCCCTGCCGTCTTTGACGCGTTTTTTTCGATCATACGGTATTATGTAAGTCTATGTATAAAGTTCATACCAGATAAACTTTTAGTCACGTGATTAAGCCTGACCGGCACAGCGTTGCCAACTTTTACATCTTTTCTTTTAATTAAAATATTTTAGGAAACAAAAATAAATCTATACTAATATATAAAATCCTTAAGTGACTGACATACTGATTAATCACGATCCTGCTCAAACCACTCAACGTAAGAAGCTCAATTTTGGCATACAGATTGATTCTAGGGTGTAGAGGTTCGATAAGAAAGGATTTCTCGAAATTCCAGTTCCAAGGGGGTGAAACCACCCCTCAAATGTTACAATATTTTTTATTTAAAAAACGGTCAAGTTTCCGAAAAAACGCTTAAACACGTATATTTTATTTTGTTTTTTTTTACATATTTTAAGGTTTTTTAAAAATTTATACAGTGTGTTTCGAAAAATCTGGTCATTGATTAATCACGATCCTGCTTAAAGCGCTTGACGTAAAAAGCTGATTTTTGGAAAACAGATTGACTTTAGGGTGTAGAGGTTCGATAAGAAGGGATTTTTCGAAACTCGAATTCTAAGGGGGTGAAACTATCCCTCAAATATTAAAATATTTTTTTATTTAAAAACCGGTGAGTTTTTCGGAAAAACTCTTAAACACGTATATATTTTTTGTTGTTTTACATATTTTAAGATTTTTTATAAATTTATACAGGGTGTTTCATAAAATGTGACCATTGAGTAATCACGATTCTGCTTAAACTGCTTGACGTTTAAAGCTGATTTTTCGCAAACGGATTGACTGTGGGGTGTAGAGGTTCGATAAGGAGGGGTTTCTCGAATCTCAAATTCCAAGAGGGTGAAAACGCCCCTCGAATATTACTATATTTATTATTTAAAAAACGGTTAGTCTTTCGGGAAAACGCTTGGACAAGCATAATTTATTTGGTTTTTTACATATTTTGAAATTTTTTAAAAAATTATACAGGGTGTTCCAAAAAGTTGGGTAATTTCTTAACCACGATTCTGCTTAAACTGCTTGACGTAAAAAGCTTATTTTTGGCAAACGGATTTTTCGAAAGTCAAATTCCAACGAGATGAAACTACCCCTCAAATATTACCAAGTTATATAGCGATATTATTATATCGCCATATTGTTTTTTCTCATGCTGACATAAATGTGAGAAAATTTTATCCAGTTTGTATGTTAATGGAAATTCTTGCTTTGCTTTATCATCACCATTACAAATGATTAATTCGACGCGAACGAAGTTGCTGGTACACGCTAGTTAATTATAAATATATAAACAGTTATTATTTACATCAACAAAAAAACTCACTCCTTAACAGCACCTAAGGGACATAAAGGGCCATTACTACCGCTTTCCCGTTCGAAATATTCTAATAAGGATGCGATGAGTTTATTGCAACGTCTATTAAGCTATCTTGTACACTTTGCAACAAAAGAGATTCTAAAAAGAACAATGTTCGACCGCAAGGTCTGCTAGTAAAATTTGTTAAGCATTCGGAATACAATTCATTTAAAACAAAAACTCGTAAAACAAAACTAAAGTGTCAAAACGAATGACAATGACAGGAAATATATAAATAAATGTGACAACTTGATATTTTTTTACAGCAGAGCTACCACCTGAATCTCCAGGCGGGAAATTTAAATTCCAGTTAGTCAGACCAGCGCCGAATATGTTCATGGTTGGCAACAATGAATTTAAAATTGTGCTCTCGATTCTCGATTATGTAACTAAAAGTTCAATTGGTATTGTTATTACTGAGTTGACGTATATTCAATAAATCGCATATTCCCTAGTTTAATTATTGTAATATTGAAAACATGCTAATTTCTAAAAACTTTCTATTGAAACTTTATTAGATAGACTGAATTAAAAAAAACAATCAGTCAAATCATTATCCATAGATAAATGAAACTCATTATCAAAATATATTTAATAAGAAAATCAAAATTTAGTCTTATTTTCTGCTTAATCGTGTTTATAACTCATAAAAACATATCAGCGGAAAATGAATGAATGCCACAATATCATTTAATCTGAAGACAGTGAAGACCTGTTTAAGGTTGAAATAAATAAGCACTGATCACAACGATTAAAACAAATAAGAAAACAAAAAACTAACGAATTTAAAAGAAAACATCTTCTTCTAAAGACCCATGACAAAGATTGTTGAAGAAAGAGAACGAGATAAGTGAAATAATATTTTTAGTATAATTGAGTAGGTTGAATATAATCGGTGCTGTTGAATAAAGGACCCCCGAAAGAAAGAGACATATGACAGGGTTACAGTTAGCAGCACGAGCTAAATTTAGATATGATCGAATCTTTTACATTTTCTCTTGGCGTATCCAAGGAGAAATGACAATAGTCTTGTCCAAATTAGCGTTAAATAACCCACTTTCTAATCTGTTGGCTAATTACATTCTTATTATTTAGCAATGAACCAGAATAATATTTGTTTGTTAATTCTTAACGGAGATGTTATTAGCAAAATGGATGACACAGACCAGGAGATGGAACAATGGAACTCTATCAACAATATTAAACTTGTTCAAGAAGAACAGGCTCAAGAAAGTCTTAGCTGCAGACTTTGCGATAAAGATCCTAAAACAGCAGAGCACATGAGGAACAGAGTTACTAAACACACTTTCAACACACAAGATTTTCAACCAAAGTAAAAGGCAAAGTAAAAAATGTCAAGTTTCCACCAAGGTTGCCACAAGAAAATTTTTGATTGTACAGAACTCCCATGACCAATAACTGTAAACGCTGTAAATTATCCAATAAGACATACGTTCGCCAAATTTTAAAGCATGATTACGAGTCTCACTTCCACTCGTTTGTATACGTCAAAATATTCATTTCCCATTTCATTTCCTCTAATGCCAGCAAGGGTTGCAGTGACGTCTAAATTGTTGTCGGGAAACTATAACGATTTAAATTAAATTATTAAAATTAGACTGGCTAATTCTGTTTAAAAACTGTAAAATATTCAGGACTGTTTAATGGGCCAAATTTGTTTATAGAAACTGCAGTCCTTGCTGACATGGGAGGAAGTGAAAGAAGAATTGAATAAAATTCACGTATGCAAACGAGTGGTTAGGTTAGGCAGTGAAATTTGGTCAAAGTACGTATTATGTATTATTTAAGAGATTAAATATTCCTGTCTATTTACCGTTTTTGGCTATTATTTATTGGTCCTTGACTCATGATCCAGTTCCTACTCTGACATTTTACTGAACACCTGAACATTGATGACGGAAAATGATATTTGTCAGTTCAAAATTTAAAGCACACTGCGGCCTCTTTTGATGTACTAACTTAGATAACTTAAAAGCAAAAAAATCAGCTTTTGTCACCTATTCTGCTATTATTTTTTATAGGAAATATGTAAATTCTCAAAATGTGTAGCTCAGGCGATTGTGGTGTAGCTGTGCAATTATTAAACCAAATGTGTAGCAAAGTCATTGGGGTAAATACAGGGGAGCCTGGGGGTGCCGGGCCCCTCCAAGTATTGCTGGGCATCCCCCAGAGAAATCCTGAATTATGACTCTTGGCTACGTATTAATTTTTATTTGCTTGTGATGCAGTAAAAATGACGTTTTGTAGTTTTGATATTATATATTATTTTGTTGTATTCAAAAAATGTGTTAATTTTTATTTTTTTAGAAAATTTGTCGGTATTTAAGTAATCTACGGGAACAAGGTTTGATAATCAAGTCTATGAAATTTATTGATAGAGAAATTCATGTAAACGTTTTATTCAAAAAATGTGTTTTTTTAAATTATCATTTTTCTTAAACAAAAGCCCTAGGCTCCCCCCTGGGCTCAACACCAGGCCCCCCCAGGCCCACTCCAGGATAAATTGCTAGTTACACTAGTGAGCAAAGTACACAATTGTATAGCTTGTGGCAATCCTGGTTTCCACTTTTTTTGTTTATTTCTTGATATTGTCATTCGTTTTGACACTTTAGTTTTGTATTACAAGTTTTTGGTTTAAATAAATAGTGTTGTGTTGCTTTCAGCTTAAAAATGTTCTCTTTTAGTGTACAAGATAGCTTAATAGCTGTAAAAAACTCATCGCAACTCTATTAGAATATTTTGAACGGGAAACCGGTAGTATAATGGCCCTTTATGAAGAAGGTGAGTTTTGTTGATGTAAATAATAACTGTTTATATATTTATAATTAATTTATTTTTGTTTTCTAAAATATTTTGATTAAAAGAAAATTTGAAAAAGTAGACAACGCTGTGCCGGTCAAGCTTAATCATGTGACTAAAAGTTTATTTGAGATGAACTATAGATTTGAAACATTTAGATCACACGAATTCACAATTTTTCAGGTTTCTTCATTTTTTAATTCAAGTTTTTCAGTTTGTTATTTTATCAATTGTTTTTTTTAGATGTTTAATATTATCTATTATAATCTTATATTATAAACAAATAAATTAAAAATTATAATTTACATTTTTAAAAACATAATGTTATGGATTTGCAACATCAAGCAAATTTTTCTCTGCTGAAACATTTTTAAAGTTTTTAGGGTATAAAATAGAGCAGTCCCAACAGAAACAATTTCGACAAAAGCAACTATGACGCCGTTTTTTTCGATTGTATCTTATAGCTTATATTTCGATTATTATATGTATATTAGTGTTATATATGAAAAATTAAATTAATTTAAACTGAAAAAGAAAATCTTTAAAAAAATAATATATTTTTACCTTTTAGCACATTGCTGAAAACAGAGAAAAAAATATGGCGTAATATCGTAAAAAAATCGATATGGCAGAAATAAAATGCGCAGTTTTCGAAGAAAATCCTACTTACAAGGTCATGTTCCAAGCCAGCTTCTTCGAGCACTTTCATATAACAGAAAATCACGAGATATCCGATAAAACTCAATATTTAAAATCCGTTTTAGCACGAAAAAAAATATTTGCCAACGCGTACCGACTGCAAAACTGTCAAAAAAGCGATCGTGCTGCCACCAGTCGTACCGAATCGGTAACCGAACCGGTTTGAGAGGATTGGATCCAAATTTGGAAAGTGGAACCGGTCACTCTGGTCGATTTGGAGTGCTAATAACCCCTCTTAGTTGTTTGGATGATGCCAAATAGATATGCAGATTGTGTGTTTTTTTTTCTCCAATTTTGACGTTTGTTTCGAGATATTTTGATTAATAATTGGATGATATTTAGGTTAGGTTTGACCAATTTAGTCTGATGATATCATAGTTCGTTAAAGAAATAGGATTCGTTATTAGTTTTAACGATTTCTTTGATGACTTGTTCCTATTAAATTGTTAGTTTCAAAACAGGCAAGCCATTTTTATCATTTCTTAATAAAGAAATCTTACAAAACCTTATATTACGATGATTTTAAACCTCTACAACCCCCTTATTTCGGCAACCACCTAGCTACGATGAAACATAGGTTCCCGATAGGTCACCGAAGTTAAACGACGTTAGAAGATGTGAGTAAATAGATGGGTTACAATCTGGAAAATCTGTCGTGCTGTTGTTCCATAGCAAGGAGTGTAAAATCTATTGACACGCACTGTTCATTCACTGTCAGTTCGAGGTCTGATGAGATTGAATATCTCGTAAGAGTCGATTTAGACGCTGGTCAAGTCGGTAGGCCATTGACAATGATATGGGCGAGGACCGCGGTTCGTATTCCGTGTAAACAAAGTAGGTTCCATCCAGATTAGCCCCAGCAGCAAAAAGAAGACGTTAACTTGAAATAATTATACTTTAAAATCTTTTTTCTAGCTAAGATTCTATTTTTGATGACATATTCTGATGATGTCTTTATACTTTGATAAATTTTTGGCTAACTGATCATTAAAAAGTACTCATAGATTTGGTTATTGTACCAGGTGAATTTTATTCTTTGGTATTATCAAGTAAATATTTGGAACAGTATCTTTCGTTCATTTTTTTTCGAATTGGCCTTAAGGTCATAAATTTTGACTGTAAAATGTTGCAGATTGAGGCCATTGTACAGCATTGTTCACTTTGAATTAACAAGAAAAATAATTTGAATTTATTTAAAACAATTACTTATTATATTAACCATATGAAACTTGGATATGAAGATCGCTGTCATTTTATATATGTAAAATTATAGGAAATATATCATCGATCTTCATTTTCAAGCCAACTTGATGCCGGTTTCTTTTGATCATACGGTATTAATCAGTAGGACTAAAACAATACTACTATAATATTAGGTACTTGTTTGTAGATCATCAAACCAAACCAAACTTTTAGAGCAATTGAAGTTTTCTATAAATAATTTAATTATTCTTCAGAAAAAAATTGGAATAATGAAATAAATTACCCACATTTTCCCTGTAATTTTGAAAAATATGTCATAACTTACTACAAAAATAATAATTAGTTATCTTCTTGTAACTTTATTACATATACCTTCTTGCCATGCGCAGAAATAGACAGAACAATCTTTTTTTTTTACGTAAATGTCACTTACGTCCACATGAAAATGGTATAAACTTAAAGAAAGAGTCTTTTTACTCGCTGGCTTTCTATCGCTGGAATTAGTTAAAAAAAACGTTTCTTGTTTTAAGAATTATTTTAGGTTATATTTTACTGAGTTACCAGATCTAAAATCTCAAGAATATTTTAGCGTAAAAAATTAGAATCTATTTGATTTAAAAAATATCATATTGGGATAGATAAATTCACTTATCCTCTCCATTTTTTCTTCAACAATCTCTTTTAATTACCATAAATAACATTATAAACTGATTCACTCATTTTTCTAATGCTAAAATAAAAATTATTGTATAGGTACTTACAAAAAAACGTCCTTGCTCTTGAATGACCAACATGAACGACCTTATAGTATATTCTCCCCAAGCGAAGGCACTTAATTTTTCTCCAAAAATTGACCCCCTTCGAACACTAACACTTTTAAACACAACACAGTCCAGTCCGTAAGTTCTTTTTACAAAAAACACCCGAGCAACACTTAATAATACCACACTCCTTAATGTTATTTTAGAATAATTTTGATCAGGATTCTTGTTGATTGTCGCAGGTAGTGTTAGAGTCTTTGTTTTTTACTATTTTCAGTCTTAATCCATTATTAATATAGATAGAGGCTCAATAAAATTGCTACCTTGTTTTGAGTGGACTTATATCATCAAATATTCAAAAAATTATCCAAAACTGGGCCTTTTTGATATAAAAACTTTATAAAAATTGACTTTAGAAATGCTCGAGTTGGTTTTAACACTAAATCCGACGGTTTTTTTTAGTTTTTGAACACTTTATTGGATGATTTCAGTTCTTGAAAGTCGACAATTAAAGTTTTTGAATTCTCCAAGTCACGTTCTTATTAGTCAAGTTGTTATTAGGTTTGAAACTACAGATCAACAGGTGTTTTCCGTTATAACAACTTGGTGCAAATTGAATTTGAAAGTGCTGGAGTTGATTTTGACAGTAAATATCAGATTCTATAGTTCTAGGACAGTTTCCTGGATGAAATAAGTCCCTGAAGTTAAAGCTGTTAAAGACACTGATAGTCTAGGACACTTTTTTCCACTGATATGAGTTTTTAGGGTTCTCCAAGTCCATAGTTTTGAAACTACCGGTTCTAGAGCACAAGAAAACAATTCATCGCGTGTTTCGGCAGGTGTAACCTCTATTTCCTCCTCAAAAACGAACTAAAAGTCACTGTCACCACCGTATACCGGTCGAAAATTTTCGGATGCCGACTTTCGCGCGCGCTCTTCCCGGTTTTTTACTTGCTGTGTTTCCGGACGGTGCCGGGGACGCTCGCTTCGCTTCGGTTTGCGAAACAACAATGATATCGAAGCGAGCCATGAATGAATGGATGCTCGCGGTGCCGCCATGTGGAGCCCACGTAAGTTGGGCGCCCCCGCAAACCCGCGACCGGCGACGTCACTGGGTGCCGAACTCGAACGAGATCGACGGAGGACGCCGCGACGGCCGCTGGAGGAGCGTCGCTCCGTGACGACACGCAGGTGGTGGGCACCACGTGCCGCAAGACGGTGGGTGATGGACGTGGTGGGAGCGCGGTTAGGGACATTAATATGTAATGGAGATGTTTTGAAAAATGTGAGTGAGTTGGTTGGATAGGAAAATGTATTATGTAAAATCCCCAGCTGTAATATTTATTTACCTACAATATTCAGTATGTAAGCTCAAACAAAAGGCTGCAGCCAGTTTTTATACGACAAAGCTCTAAAAAAAACTCGCTGCAGCCTTTTGTACTTAACAACACCACCATTGACGTCGTAAAATCTGTAAAATTCTTAGGGCTGTAAAATTCTTATCGACGCTTTGTCGAAACAATTAAGCTCTGCCTGTTTTGCAGTCGCACCTCAGGTATGCCCTTCCATTCTGGGGCACGTGTTGTGCGACTCAATTTGACCTCATTTTCAAGCTCCAGAAGAGAGCTGTTCGATATTCACTGGGACTAAACAGCAGAACTCATTGCCAGGACTTTTTTAAAAAAATAAAAATATTAACTCTTCCTTCCTTATTTATATTTGAATCCGTTTGCCTAATACGTAAGCATGTATCAGCTTCTCAAGAAAGGCCATCTCACACTTATCCATTCAGGAAGGCGGAGCAAGATCTTTATCTACCTACCCCACGCTCAGAGTTAGTTCAAAGTTCAATATTATACAACTCGAAAAAAATGCACAATCACCTGCCATTTGAAATCAAATCCATAACATCATTTTCTTCATTTCGCAAAGCCCAGGCAATTGGTCCACCTCTTCCTATCCTTGAGTTTGCATAATAATAATATAAATAATTTTTGACATTTCTTTCATTATGGGGGGTGGGGGGGTGTCATAATGAAGGTCATGTTAGAACCACTCTTTTGATGTGCGAGTATCTAAATTAAACTTTTCTAACATGTTTTGAAAACCGTTCTCTAAAAAACGTAAGTAACGTTCACCGGTCAACGTATCCTCGAAAATGTATGGCCAAGGAAAGTTGAATCAATAATCCTACACGCTTTTCTTCATTTGAAAAATTCATATTTACAATATTTGTTTATTTTAATTTACAAAGTTTGGATATGATAGATTCAGTGAATTTGTCATTTCTGACAGCAACGACGATTGAACTTGTTTCCATGGCTAAATAAGTGAACTTGTTTAAAAATGATAAGAATTTCAATAATTTTTCCAAAAAAAGAAATATTAAAGCTTATATCGCTGAAAAGCTTAAAAAATGGGTTTTTTTATGAAGTCATGGCTAACTATGGTTTCCATTTAAGAAAACATATGTTTGTGTCATATGTAAAAACAAACTAAAAATCATAGACAGAAAGTGTAAGTTTTTTACTTCTACTTCGTTACGTAATTGTATGATCAGATAGTAATTATTAATTTGAAGTTTGACTTCATATGTAATGCCATAGAAGAAATTAAACTTTTTATTCTCCCAATACCAATATTACGACTACTAAGTTCAATAAAACCATTTTTATTTCATTTATTAACGCCCTCATACTTCTCAATTTGCCCAAATTCGAAACAACAACCTTTTCGATGTTCAGGTCCATTTTTGGACAAAAAAATATTGGCTCGCGCTACGTAAACACACTCTTTCTCATTCTCTGACGTTTCTCCTGACCGATTCCCAAGCGGCCACCTCACTTATTTACCCGTCGATTTTCGAAAAATAAACTCATAGTAACTGGCGTTTACGTTGCCAATCCCACGCTATTTTTAATCGCTCCATCATACGTATAGTTACGAGGGACTAACGATAAATTCCCTGATAAATTCAGTTAATTATTTGGATGCCCACAAATGGACTGGATGACGACGAATGGCGTTATATTTACTCCAACGTTTTGGTTAGATGTATCACTGACCGTCTTGGAAAACACACCACAATTTTCCAAGCTGAGCTGTATGCTGTTGAAACCTGTGTGCAACTGCTGGTAGAACAGCAATACACCGGGAAAACAATAAGCATATTTTCGGATAGCCAATATGCGGCGTTAAAAGCACAGGAACAAAGTGTCGCTAATATAACTAGAGGGAAACGAAGGTGCTGATTCCTTCGCCAAAACTGGTGCAGGTTCACCATTCGCGAGCCCAGAACCGACAGCGTTCCAAAAAATCTCGAAAGAAACATGTTCTGTGAATGGGTTAGGGGAGCGACGTTTCAGGACTGGAATCCAAAAAAATCGGCTGAGATCACACCTACAGAGGATGGGACTGGTGGAAGACGCCGAATTCCGACTGTGTATGGAAGTTGACAAAACAATGAAGCACGTTATGTGTACCTGTCCCGCTAGAGGCAGGACCAGGTTTTAGGTGTTTGGCAAAACTAAAGGTATACTATCAGACCTAGGAAACATATCACCCTCGGAGATTAAAAGACGTCAGAAGGCTGGATTTTGAGGGTGAACTTTAATGCTCTGTGGAGGGTACCATTGGGGACCCACTCTTAGTGAATACGAATACGAATAGTAGATGCTAAAGTAAATCGTGACTGTTTTGGATGCACTCAAGTGTGAGATATTAGACTTATAAGGCGTCCAAGTAGTTTTGATAAGTAGTGGTAATATTGTAGACAATTTGGCTTTATAAAGATGGTATTATTGCTTAATATAAAAACTTCTGTAAATTTACGCATTTTCGAATGAGGACAACTCAAGCTTTCAACCATTTTATATTGTGCTGCTTGGACCTTCAAAAGCTAAATGTATTGTTTCATCTCTTTGCGTGTTGTTTATGTTCGTTAAGTCGTGCATGTGTAGGCCGTTTTGTCACTCCATAGTTGTAGAGTATTTCCGCCAATTGGAACTACTGAGACTCTCTAATTCGTTTGTCCCGAAAATACTGAATAAGACTGACAAAGACAGTGCCGAAATTAGTCCCAATCTTTTTCAACTGACTTCAGATAAAGTATACTTACTGTGTATTCACAATCTAACTGGGTATGATGAACCCTTTCTTTGATTTTGAAGTTTCTTAGATACTTTAAAATAGATTTAATATTATATTGTTTGGCTATTCACTTGATCCATCCTAGTAGTGATTACACAAGACAGAGAGCATCTGCCTCAACTTTTGACATTTTCGATTAAAAAAATCGTATTTTATATTTCAATCTAAAGTGCCACCATTGCTGTGTTGAAAAAAAACTCTAATTTTTAATCAAGGAGCCTTGAAAAAATAGACTTGCTCGTTTAATGTTTTTTCGTGTCTTGTCGTATTTTTAATCATATCTCAATTTTTTCAAATGGAACAAGTGTGGCTCATTAGCATATTTGAAAAAATCTGTTTTTTACGAATAATTTGGTACCAGACACTTGGTAGTTCGAGTCAAATTGTCGTTATGAACCGCATGTTATAATTTCAAATAAACTATATACGAAACTGTCAAAAGTTGATATATAATATGTCATTCTGTTCAGAGTGTTATTTGCTATCGAATATAGTAAAAGAATACCATTTAGAAGAAAATATCATTTAAAAATCAAAAGTTGTGGTGATTTCCGGTTACACAGGAATTGCCCAAAAATCAATTTTAATTTATGTCATAATATACTAAGATACCAAATCTCGTTTTTTATCTGAAAAAAATAAAAAAAGTTATAGAGGTCCCAAGTAGCAAAAAGAAATTCTAAAAGGATTGAATTATTTTATAACAGTCGAATAGCGTTGTCTTAAGGACTGCTTGATTTTATTAAGCGTTTGGTTTCGACCATTCTGCTTTTTAATAAAAGTTGTCATATTAAACTATTTTCTAGTGGTTTTTACAACGTATCCTATAAGGCATTAAACGATAATTTCTTTTAGTATGATATAACACTTAATAAAACAATGCTATATGATAACAAACATATTATTTTATTAGACTCTTATACCCACCATGTAAGAGTTCTATAATATTCATATAACTAGTAGTCACAAGATCATATAACAGTTACTTAAACTTGTCTTATTAAAGTTGTATTACGTTGTATGATAGAATGTTTTATTGCGTTAAACCACAGTGCTGTATACAACACCAGTTACAGTACGTCTGTTCGTTCTGTTGCTACGGAGTATCCGTGAGAGGGGAAACGATATTCTCTCCACGTTTTTCGTAAAAATTAGACGACGCGTCCCATCAATAAAAATTCGACAAATTTGCAAGTAGCCAATAAAATGAGTGGGCGGAGCGATTTGCGGTGACGTACTCGTCAAGTCGACTTATAAAATATATTGTTGTTTATTTAAATGTTTTTTGTCCGCATTCCTTTCATAGACACAGATCCAGCAGACGTACTGTATATAGCCTTATATGTATATAGCCTTATATGTATATTGTATTTGTATATAGCCTTATATGATAAAATTGTGATTAACAAAATAAATTCGCTGTAATATTTGTATTATAGAACTGACAATGTATAATATAACCTCATTTTATATTAAATGGTATACCTAGTTATTTATTTTGTTATTGTTGTTGCTGCAAAAGTAATATCTACGTAATAGTTTAATCAATCATAGTTATTATGAATTCTGGACAAAGTTGGAAAAAAGTTAACAAACGCAGTGGTAGTTATAAAGAGCATGTAAGAAAAAACTCCTCGAAATTACGGCAAATAATCCCGAAAATTCCCTGGGTTCCCAAAAGCCAAAATATCTCGGGTTGTCTGGCTTCTCCAAAACATTGTTGCCATGTTGATGTAAAAGTTTTACTGTAGTAATGTTTGTATTGTTTTATTATTGTTTTTCCAAGTCCTTAGGTTGCCACTCACTCGTCGGGCATGCATGAAATCCATTGCGTGCATGAATCCATG